TTCCCTTTGAAAACTCATGGGATACTATGCAGCTTTTTCCATAGACAGTGCTCCTTCTTTCGTTCCTAGATAGCAATGTGGTCTTTCCACCAGCGTGTACAACTTATCATAGAGTTCAACAATATTTTAAGTTCACGGCAATTAACAGGGAAGTGCGGTCATTTGAAGTGCTTCGGTATTTAGCCCAAAGAGGGTTTTAGTTCACCTAAGATAGAGGCATCACAACACAGCTGGGCCCGCCAGGACAGCCTGTAGCACACAGGGGCAGCAGTGATTTTTAACTGCCATTGGGGGCCATCGTGATTGTGCAGCTGTGGGGACAGTTGTTTTATTCCACCCCTTTCCCTCCCCCACGTCGGTGCCTATGGCAACTGCCTCAGTTGTCCTGCCCTAGTCATGCTGCTGAGGTAAGAGCTCAAAATGATAGCCATATATGCCTTTGCCAGTCCAGAAAGGAGGTATAATACTTCAAGAGGCACAGTCCCCCTTAAAACACACGTAAGTATACAGAGGGACTGTGCACGCCACATTTTCCCTCTGCCTGGTGTACCACACCTATCCTGTGTACTTAACCTGCTCTGACTGGCGCATAGCCATAGCCTTGTCTGCTTTCTGCTGCTTTGCATGCCTGAATGTAGTAAGGAGGAAAGTGCCTCTAATCTCCAGAGCTCAGAGCCTGCAATTTTGACTATGCTTTGCTCAGGAGGAGACTTACTACACCCTCCCTGTCTACTTATTCAGGGACAGGGCAGTCTATCTTGTGAGCAGACACAGGTTCCTTGGGAACGGTATGCCCTTGGAGTTTAATTCTACTAAGCAAAATCAAGGCTACTGCAACTTGACCAAAGTCAGTGGTATTATACTAGAGATAAATTTTGCCCAGTGTCTGAAGTTTATGTTCAGCATATAGCTGATGAAGTTTATACAAGGCACTGTTTTAAGATATGGCTGCTTAACTTGCTGACCTAGTTACCTATTTTAGATTTAATCAAAAATCCCTGGAAGTCAGTGGGAAAACTCCATCTGATTTACACTAGCTTTGGGCCTGGCCCTTTGCCTGTGTACTTTCATGCACAGTTAAGACAGCTGCTTTTGAAAACTGGTCCCGAGCTTGTTCTCAAGTCAGTTCAGTCCTTGTTAAGCCAGGAGGAATCACAGATGTGGCAGGTTGGCAGAACTATAAATTACACTTTTTTTTCCTTGTCTTGATGTGTTGTATCTTCTTTCTTTTCTCTTCGCAGTGTGATGTCATGGATCAGAATCTGTTAAATTTCCTCCCAGAGCAGGAACATTCTGAAATTTATAAAATATTATCTTCTTGTGTGCTTATGACAGATTCCACCTCCTCAGATTACCTAAAAAGTAAGTGTAATGCTATTGCTCCCAATGAAAACAGTGGAGTGTCCATGATTTTTCCTTTAAAAGGAGTCTTTATGTGATACATTGATATGAATATTCTGTCAGGAAGAACTTCATATATACTTTCATTTTTAAATAAATTCTGCCACTGAGAATGGTCCTGCTGTTCAGTTTTTAAATGAGACTCACTACATTTATTTTACCAGCACAAGACTCCTTGCAGCTACGTTAATTATAAAAGATTTTAGCTTTGGAGTGAGCTAAGAAAAAAAGGTTTGGCAAGGGTTTATTTAGAAAAGTTCAGCTCAGACAAATCACATTATAGATGATATTTCAACTTATTCAAGCAAGACTATTTTCACAGACCTGCTAATGATGCACGTGGTATTCTATTACATTTGAAACATATGTGTAAAATCTCCATATGTTTTTATAATTTAATGTATTTTTCAATAATTGTCTTTTCACTTGCCTCTGATGAATTAACAGTAGACAGGAGAGGCAGAAAATAGGAAACAAGATAAAAGAATATTTATAATTTGTTTTCTATTTTGTACAAAACCCCCAACTAATATTTAAAGGCAAAGGTGTCCCATTTACAAGTCATTAACGCAGTGGAGGTAAAACTCCACTGTTTCTTTAACCTCGGTACAGGAAGGAAGTGATATGGTTAGTACTATACTCTGGCTGCCTTTATCCCCAGGTACCATTGGGCTAGATAGACATGAGGGCTCTGCAAGAACTAGAAATTATGACCATCACCCAGACCCTTCTAGTTTGTAGACACTTGCCTTACCAAAGTCAGCTACACAGCTCTGCTACCTGACAGATAGTAACATCAAATTACTTAAACATATATTTAAGAAAACAAAGACTTTCCAACAAGATGTATGAAATATCTATAAATTCTGAAAAGAAAAACTGAAACAAGTAAAGGATATGTAGTAAGAGCCCCAATTCTCTGCCACAATATACTATGTCATGCTAAGTAAGTGCATTGATAAAATGGGTATAATGGATGACGGAGTCAGGGCTCTGTCAGTCTGCCCTGAGAAATATCCAGGGGACACATTGAATCATCTGATTTCAGGAAAGAGATCTAACAAAGGCTCCAATCCTGCATTTTACAATGCAGTCTTAGTGGGCGTCTGAGCAGGTGAAGCAATCTGCTTGCTTGCTACCAGTTGCAGGTTAAGAGCCAAAAGATTCCATTGTGTTGAATTTAAATAGCATAATTATGTTTTCTTCTTTTTCTTTTAATAATCCAGCTGACAATGAATTAGAGTTTTATTGTCATCTTCTGAGAGGAAGTTTGAATCCAAAGGAATTTCCAACATATGAATACATAAAATTTGTAGGAAATTTTCGGTCTTACAGCAATGGTAAGCCTTAATTGTTGCATAAATGTTACTAAGCATTAGTTATGTAGAAATATGTGTAGTTGCATAGAGCACATAGACTTCTAACTGGAAGATTTACTGCTACCAGTTTGAGGTAAATATCAGTTCATATGGAAGCTAGCAGCTGTTTAGTAAGAGCCAGATGTATATCATAAAGTAGGGGGCTATGTGAACTCTGCTTCTCATTGCATTTAATTTCTAAGCCAGGATCTTAGATAACACTGGCCTAGTATCAGTTAGCTTTGCCCAATTGTGAATGGTTTCGGGCCACTGTGTTTGTGCTGATTTATGCTAACGGCAGTCAAAAACAAGATAACTAAATTCATGTTTGCCTCTGACTTAGCTAAAATTGGAATCAAGGCAGGTTCCAGAGCTGAAAAACTAAAAAACCTTTGCTTGTGGTACAGGGATGGTTTTTTTGGAAATATTTTAGTCCCACATGATAAAGTGTATGATACCCTGGGATCCTAAAAATCCCAAAAATTGTTGAGAGAGGCTGTTGCTGGGGCCATTAAAGCACTTAGGCCAGATCCTCTAAAACAAGGGTTGCCAACCTGCAGCCCAGGTGCCACAAGAGGTATGGACAGCCTCTGTGGGTGGCATGCAGGAGACAGAGGAGGAGGCCAGGCAGCATAGTGACAGATAGGGCAGGGAGAATAAAGCAGAGCAGCACCCTCAACTCCCATTGATGTCAGTAGTAGTGAAGGCCCTCAGGACCTCAGAGAAGATGAATAAATCTGAAATTGTCCCATTTTCCTTTCCATCCAAGCCATAGTACCTGTATTCATAGAACAAGGGGAGCAGAATTACATTCCACAAGTCACAGCATGGTGCAGTCGTACCTAGGAGATAATTTTTCAAAGGATGACAAACAGATTTTTATCAGACCTGTGCTAATAAACAGGTTGCTATTCAGAAACAGAAAAGAAACACTCCTTTATTACAGCTCTCCTTTATTACTTCCTCTGCTTCTGCCCATCTCAGTTTGCCTTAGATACTTGCCTGATTGAACTCCAGAGAATGGCATTTCAAAAGTTGCTGGGATTGTTCCAAATAGGTCATCCTCAGCAAACATTCCTCACCAGGCTTTCCAAAAGCTGCACGGCGCAGTCAGAAATAAACAGGCTTCCCTGCCCCCATTTAACTTTCTGGTCTCAATCCACATAACTAAAATGGAAACATACATTCCATTTGGGTAAATATATATTTCTTACTCGGTTTCATGCAATATTTGAATTTGTTTATGTAAAATTGTAACTAGCTTAGTGTTTTCTAGTTTGATTATTTTTCCTGTGCTAAATGGAGTGGAATTTAGCAGAACGACAGAAACACAAGCTAAGCTAGATAGCTTTCTAAAACAGGAGCTTGTTTTCAGATGGTGGCCCCTACTTGGGGATTTTTTTTCAGTTCCTTCAACGATTCACAGCCTTTTTTCATGCATGACTCCTAGACTGCTCTCTTTTTTCCTTTTCATGACTTTAAACACATAAACATAGTTCTTCAGGAGGCCAGTGGCTTAATGTTAAGGGGAAAGAAAGCTTTTGTTTTTTAATGTGTCCCTTCAAACATCTCCCTAGTCTGATGCAGTTAAAAGTGAATCTGGAAGAGGGGGAGGGGGGGTTCCCCCTCTGGAAGCATATCCCTTGACTTCAGTGGATGCTGGATCAGGTTGTCACTGCACCATTTACAATCTTTTTGAGTCATGGTTTGTGGTCTATTTTATTTTTGTTGTTCCTCTGTATTGTACATTGTTCTTTCTCTAAATATTTTGCTCTTTTTCTTCCTGTTAAACTTTGTCTCTGCACTGCTTAGGCCCTGTTGATGTTGTATGTGGATTGCTCTTAGCTCTACTTGGTTAAACTGCATCTCTTAGATTCTTACTCCCTTATCTCAGGGCTGGGGGGAGGAATTGGACAAGAGGAGAACTGTAGCCTTCTCTTCTTGAATGTAGTTGGCCTCTCAGTCTGTTAGAGGACCTGGCAGCTCTGAGTTTTTGGGTGCAAGCAGAAGTGTGATGGGTTTCCTACTGTGTTCAGGCCCTGAGATAGCTATGGATGCTGCTTTGGTTGGCATCATTCACTCAACCCTTTCTGAGCAAGAGTGTAGGTGAAACACAACAGCTGCCATGGCCCACTCAAGACTGTTCTGTCATGTTAGAGCTGTGACCTGCTGGTCTAATGGGTAATTTGCTCTTTATTTTCTAATCAAATAAATACTGGTTTTCAAGTCAGTTTCCCTTTTTTCTTTCTCTGCCAACCACAAGTTGGCACCTCAGCAAGGTGCGATGGCAGCACTTCTGAACAGAATTTCCAGGAAAGATTGGTGTGAAGAATGAGAGGAGAGAGACATTCCAAAGACTTGCACTGCAGTGCTCTTGTAGTGTACACAGGACCTGCTGGCCCGAGACCCTGCCATTCAAAGGTGCTGTTGAGAGAAAGATTAAGCTAGCAATATAAAAACACTCTGCCAGGGAGAAGGGAAGAGACTGCAAATTAAGCTTAATTGGTGGGAAATGACTCCTCATGAATGTATTCAAGAATGATTTTCCTGGTAGTATTTCACAGTGGTAGAAGTGTGAGCGTGTTTTTGCACATGGGAACTGGATACAGGATGTTCTTCTCTAAGTACAAATCTCTGTTGTTCTTTCTAGTCACTTGATGCCGTGTCTGACCTAAGCAGCTTGTTTTGTTTTACTCTGGGAAATATTCACTGGATGCACTTTGACCTCATGATTTTACTATGTTAACATGAGATCCCCTGCAGTGGGGGGAGATAGTTTATCCCACACAGGCTGTATCTGATCAGAGTATGGAATTGCTCAGTACCAATTAACATAGTAACACACACATTCATGATAGGATAGTGTGACACATTCATTCCTTGTTCCCTTCCCACTTAACTTTCACTAATGTTGTGGAGGTTTTATTAGGTTCATTTTTCCTCCCATTCTCTTCTTCCTATAGCAGTTTTTTTCTTTACCAAAAACATTACTACTTTTTCTTCTGGTACCACACATTCCTTTAATGTGACTACCCCTGCAGTGTCTGTTTCTTAGGGTCAAAGTTGCATTTATTATCATTAATAATCTATACCACAGCATTGCCGACACACCGTGGCTGACAACTGAAGGTTCCTGTGTTCTGGGTAGCATACAAACATGTATGCCATAAATCCTTGTGGAAGAGAGTTTGAATTGTCTAATTCTAAAGCCTGAAGTTGTCAAAGCCAGTTAGAGCATCCTCTGCTCACACTTTTACTAATTTCAGTGAGACTGGTGTAGGTAAGTCTCTTAGGGCATGTCTACATGTTGCCATACAGTGACATTGCTATGGCACCATGCTTTAGTACTTCCTTTGTTAAGTACGAAAGCACGGCGTAGTAGCTGCCCTTACTGCGCCGTGCACACAGCACCCAGTTAGATTTTGCTGCTACGTCATTAGCAATCATGCAGACCCATGTGATTTAGCAATCACGCAGACCCACGTGATTGCTAAGTCGCCCTAGCATGCTGTATGGCGATGCAGCACATCACTACATCACCGTAGGGCAATGTGTAGACATGTCTTTATTCAGCTGTTTAGATCTCCACCTATTGATTTTTGTATTGTAACAGTAAGATGCCATGGAGACACTTCTGTCCAAGACAATGCAGATATTGTATGTCTAACAGGGTGCCCAACAGACACAGTTATTTTCAGTGCACCAGATTATACATCTCTAAATCCACCCATCCGCATATAGGTCTCTCTTCCTATATACACTAGGAAAGCTCAAGTATCTCCCTGGTAACTTGCCTCAAGCCCCTAAAGCAAAGTGCTAAAGTCAAGACAGGGAGATGCAGATGAGACCTCATGGAAGTTACCTGGCCACAGTAATATAGCCTAGGACCTGTATTCACTCTTCTGATAATCTCATTCCCCCAGGGCTGTTGAGGTTTGCTGTAGCGAGACAGGTTCCTTGGCAGCAAAGTTATAAAGTGTTTTCCTGGGAGGGAATTAATGAGAACCAAAGCCAAAACCTTTATTACAGGAAGCCATGCTTTGCCCCTTTATGATACAACTGGGGTTGATGTACCTGAGGCTACATCTTCACTGTAGATTTAACTCAAGTTTGATGAACTATAGTTAACTCCTCTCAGGTTAGTCTAGCTCAAGTGAGTGTTGCCATACTGCAAAAATAACCCTCAAGCTGCACAGAGTAATTGTATGAACAGCTGATGAGTTCTGCAAACTCAGAAGCCAGAGAGCTGTTCTGCCAGCTCAGAGGTTTCCATTGTATTTTTTCATTAATTTTCAATTAGAAAAACTTGGATAGTAACCTGGATTTTGTACTCACTTGTTCCCCGAGTGGTGGCTGAAGGATAGGAACCAAAACTGGACATCTGTGGCTGGAACACTGGTCTACTTATCTTGTTTAGTACAGTGAGGAAAAGGAGAGGATGTTCTTTCATTTTTTGTAGACTGGAAAAACCTATTTACTTCCAAAACAAACAGTAGGTTTTTACTAGTTTTGTAACTAGAAAGATGTCCCAGTAATGTGCTGGTAGATTTCAGGTTCAAAGTGCTTTAGACTAGTTCCATTAATAAAAGGTTTTCCTATATTCTACATTTAACGAGTGTGGTGTAGATACACAACTATCTAATGGAACTCAGAGTTATCATCAGAATCTTTTGATCAATGATACATTAAGGGAAAGGGTAATGCAAGGGTAATGTTATCATTAGTGGTTAAGAATGCAATCTCTTGCATCTGACTTTCTGGGAGAGAAAGAGGATAATAATAGAGATCCGCCAAAAAGATTATATAGAATTTAAACTCCCAAAATCAAGAAAACTAATGAACTTAAAAAGAACTAACTTACAAAGCAGTTTCACTGTCTGAATCTGATAAGGAAGCCTGCACAGATGATGAGAAGGATGGCCTGAATCTATTTTCTCTTTAACTACTAAGCAAGTTGTTTTCCAAACAGAAAAAAAGTCTTTGGCAATTAAATATCCAAGTGTTGTCTTTGAATCTTCCTTCCTCAAGAGTCCTGATCTTTGAGCTAGTATAATCAATTGTAAAAAATCCTGAAAGGGAAAAAGTATATAAGTGAGAAAAAAAATATAATTCCATTTTTTTAACTGTTTTTGACAGGAGAACAAACATCTTTGAAGTTTTAGATATGCTACTTGATTCAAATGCCTAAAGCTTTCCTTTTTGGGGAAGAACTATTTGTTATCTGAAAAGAGTTGCTGATCAAGTAAATACCTGAAACAATCATTAAATATTTGAGTGGAATTTAAATATTGAGTGGAATATTTTTAAAGCCCAAATTATACAGAAAATTCTGGAAGTATCTATTCGTAGAGTATTAAAAATAGGAAATACTCTACTTTTAGCTGACATATCTGTTAGAGATAGAAATAACAAGCAAGGAAGTTAATATATCAAGAGAAAAAACTCTTTTCAATACCCAGAGCAATCAGATCAATCTGAATTCTTGTTTAAGAGAAAGAGAGTTTGTTTAGGGAAGGAATTGGTTTTCATTTTACTTAATTTGTGTGTGGGAAAATCTGACAAGAATAATCTCATTGAAATTAATGTTTTGATTAAAGATACATCTGACATTCAGAAAATGAAGAGACATGATATTATTCTCATGTCTCATAGTTATTATCATTATAATAAATTATTAACATTACAGTAGTACCTGGAGGCACCAGTACACAATCCATCTTCATTATGTTAGATGTGCTTTAGGCATTTGAGCAGAAACACACAGTCTTTGCCCTAAAGAGCTACAATCTTATTTCAAGGTACTTTAGGAGTGCAGGAGAACAGGAGGAAGAAAAAGAGATGAGTAGCAGCAAAACAAGCAAGGCTGTAAAGTAAGAAGGAAACATTGCTCACTCTCAGAACTTAGCCCCATTTGTCATTAAAATAAGTTACCAGTATTTTTCAGCATTTTCACAATATATATCTATAGATTATTTGATATTAATGTATGTTCTATTTATTTGGAGTCCTCATTTATTTGTTTAGGGTATTTTTATTCTTATTTTGGTTGCCTTTGATCGTACTCTTACAATCAAATCATGTTCAGTTTGTTTGGCATGGTATCCCAAGTCTGGTTCTTTGCATGTTAATAGACTTTAGCAATAAAAAAATGAAAAAAAGAAAAAGGCTTCAAAGAGCATAAATCGAAGAACTGCAGTTGTACAAAATATATATCTAAATGATCTCCAAAGTTTTAAGTTAAAATAAGAAGAGTGGTAGACTGATTGGCTGCTGCAACTAGGCAATCAAGCTTTTTTTATTCATAAATCTTCCTTATTCACTCCACATAAGGTAATCAGATAGAAATATTTCTTACACGGATTTGGGGATTCCGGGGTTTTTTAAAAGCTTTAACATCCCTGCCCCCAAATATTTCTGGTCCTGATTTCACCCTTCTTATGCTGTAGCTGGAGGTGAATTGAAACCTTTTTAGAAGAAGAATTACTGTGAAGCTTTAAATAGACACAGAAGCTATTACACCCACTCTAAGGTGTATCACTTAACTGATATATGGTGGTTATTTCATCCTTCTGATTATGTCTTTAACTTTGTATCACAACCTCAATCATTCTCTAGTTAGGATTTTTTGTCCATTGTATTTAAGAGTGAAATACATGTTGACCTATTTCTTTGACTCCAAATGACTACTGTCACCTTCATTCTTAGGTCACAGGCTTTCTGACCAAAGCACACAGTTAGTGTGAACGTTAGTGATTCTGATCATCCTAGGAGGACTTAAAATATATATATATTTATTTTGTGGTGCTGAGATTTTAGTAATTTAGAAGTCTGATTTTTTCAGGGCTCATTTTAAGTAGTATGTCCTAAAATTTCAATGAAATATCAATTGATTTCAATAAGCGGGTTTTTCTATTTATAAATGCCTATAAAGAAAAAAACCCTGACTGAATACAAAGGAAAAGTGAAACTACAGAAAGAGCTGTCAAACGCGCAAAACAAAATGACCAAATAAGGGAGAAAAGTAATTTTGCTAACTTCTTTCACTTATAGTAATTATTAGTTTCAGACAGAAATGTAATTTACAGATTGTCAGTGCCCCTGTAGATCCATCTCAGTTCTCCAGTTAAGTATTTTTTAACTACTCGGATTTTATCAAAGGCAAATGACTATGGTGCCCAAACTATTGTTGCTAGCAGCTCAGAGGCAAAACATCTGCCAACTATTATAGCTGTACCTAAATTCAACACTGCTATTGGTCAAATTCCAGATTTGGTAGACAGGTTTAGAGTAATGTATGTAATTCTTGTTCTATCTGTATTACATTTTCCGCTTGGGAATACAGTGTTCTATTCTATTTTGTAAAGGCAACATATAGGGCCCTATTTTGTCTCTTTGTAGAATCATATATGTTATCTCTGATTTTTATTTCTTCATACTAAACAGCCTTAAGTGAAAACTCTAGCTCTGCTCTTCAGTGCTACAATGTGGCTGTCCTATCTTCTTCTCTGAGCATGTGCCTCCCACAAGCTATTAAGCTCACTAAGCAGTTTTACCTGTTGCACCTCTATTTTGGATGCTTATTTAAATTTAATAGGGTTGGAGTGGTGTTGTAACCAGTATGATCCAGGAAATATACAAGAGGGCCAGGGTTCTTTGTGATATCTTTTATGGGACTAAATGTACAGTTGGGAGGGAGATAAAGTTGACAAGAACATCCCTTAAAGAAGTGTATTTTGTGCCCCAAAACTTGTCCGTCTTTTCTCCCAGCTAGACAGTTGGTGCAATAAAAGAACCCACAAAACCCTTCCCTCTTATAATTAAGTTTGGCCATTTTGGCCTATATGTTTCCATCCTGCAAGCATTGGTTACTGGAGTTAAGAGATGTTTACTGGGAATGGTCCTGTTGACCTCAAATGTGACTGCTCATGGTATAATCCAGTACTTCTAGAAATAATTTTTCACAGTGCCATTCATATAGGTGTATAAAATGCCACTGACTTTTCAACAGAACAGTCTATTAAAATCAACAGAGTTATGCTGTATAGTACAGGGCCTCATAATGCCCTTTCAGAATAATGCAAATTGCTACTTAGGCAGTTTCCTTCTATTTTCCTACAGTTCCTCCTCTTCTTTTCCCTTTTATATTAATCCCATAGAAGCTCCTATATATGCACATAAACCCAGCAGCAAACTTGAACTACAAATTCTTAGGAAGTCTCAGGAGGAACAGCATGCCTTGCTTATGAAAGGAGGAAAATTTTGCCCCTAATTTTTATCTTAATATCTAGTCAATCATGCCCTCAAGGCTCAGGCACAGGATATTTCATGTCTAGAGATGTTTTATAAATTATAAAAATGTTCACATCTGTACTACTTTCTCAAATGTATAATTTTTCCTCCCTTTGGTACTGCTCTGGCCAGGTCCCACAATGGTCTGAACTGATTAATCACAGATATGAACTATCTACAGATTACTTATGTTTCTGTCTCTCATTCTTATATTCTTATTATCTATATCCTGGTGCACATGGCATTACCATATTTTCAATTGGACTCCAAAAGTGTGTGTGTTAAATTGGCTTAATATTCAAGTCTGTGTGCCTCATGCCTATGAGATGAAGTCCATTATAAAAAGCCAGTACAGTAGCTACCCATAATAAAAAATGCTAGTGAAGTACTCGCATGCACTAAGATACAAAATAAGGCTTCACTCATAAAGGGGCACACCCTCCCTCTGCAGAGTGGTACAGATGGGAGATGAATTGTGGAACACTTGAGGACATGGACTCTAGTGCCATACTGAGAGCAGCGTCATATTTTGCTTCATCACCTCATCTGCTCTGCAGAAGCAGCTCTATATTTTATAGGAGTTGATCAGTTGGAAAGTGAAGATGACAGGGAGCA